CCTTAAGTAATCTTGAATATTTTCAATAGTTTCTTCTGAGGAGTTGGTTGGGGAGTTGTGGGGGATAAAGGATTTCTTGTGAGGGGGGGAAGAGAGGACTGGTGTCTCAAGAGTACGGGCAAAGGATGGTGGAGGTGATTGTGTGGTAGGGGAAGAGGGGGTGGAACGTTTGTTCTGTCTGTTACAGGGAGTGCGAGGAGGGAGAGGGGAAGGTGTTGGGGTTGTAGTGGTGATTGGAGTATCTGTATTAGAGATTGGAGTTTCTGGATTTAGGATGGCAAAATGGTTAATGGTTAATGGTTAAAAGCAAGATAAATGTGCTAGACATCTAAGGTCATGTAGCACTAAAGTTAATGTTAGTGAAGGGTGGTTGAGTTAGTGATTAGTTGTCTAAGCTGGGCAAAGGAATTAGTGAGTGAAAGGGTTAAGGTCGGGTGTTATATTAGATAAAGGGTATGCATAAGAAAGGTTTCTTGAAGGCATACAATAGATGGGTTATAAGAGGAAAGGATATGATGGTCAGGTCTGTGGGAGCGGAAACCGCGAATATTCCAATGAAGGATAGTTATACTTTCGTTGATTTAGTGATATAGATTGTAGTACGTGTTGGAGAATTTGAAGGGGAAGCAGCTAGAGGGTGATATAAGGACTGAGAGGTTTGAGATGGGAGAGGTGTGGGAGTTGGTGTTCTATCAGGAGGGGTATTAGGAGATGGAGGGTCTGAGGAAGGGGATACTTGTGACATAAGGGATTCACGTGTGTATCCAGGAGGGAGTGGAAGGGATAGAGGGGATGGTGGGAGAGTTAATGTGGGCAGGGTTGGGGTCAGGGGGGATGGGCTGTGTTGGGAGGGGGTAGGAGGGTAGGGTGTAGGGGGGATATCGTTAGGAGGAGGATGGATATCAGCAATTACTTGGAGTGTGGAAGGAGCAGGAGTTGTAGGTTGAGTGTCGGTTTTCATTAAGTAATCTTGAATATTTTCAATAGTTTCTTCTGTGGAGTTGGTTGGGGAGTTTTGGGGGATAAAGGATTTCTTGTGAGGGGGGGAAGAGAGGACTGGTGTCTCAAGAGTACGGGCAAAGGATGATGGGGGTGATTGTGTGGTAAGGGAAGAGGGGGTGGAACGTTTGTTCTGTCTGTTAAGGAGTGCGAGGAGGGAGAGGGGAAGGTGTTGGGGTTGTAGTGGTGATTGGAGTATCTGTAGTAGAGATTGGAGTTTCTGGATTTAGGATGGCAAAAGAGTTTGACTAGGGAAGGTAGGTGGGGTTAGTGGGGGGGTTAGATGTAGGAGGGGTGGGTTTAGGAGAAGTGTTAGAATGAGCAGTATTACTGGAGTAAGGAGTAAGAGAGAATCCACGTCGACGTGCTTCCTGTCTGGCTTCACGCAGTCTGAGTCCGAGTTTGAATCTGAGAGTTGCTACCTCAGATTCAAATTTGTAGGTGGGACAGCCCCTATAAAATACATTATGGGGGCCGCCACAGTTGGCACATGTGCGTGATTGTGCAGAGCAGTTAGATCGGGTATGGCCAGGTTGGGCACATAATGGGCATCTGGCTGTGGAACGGCAGTGTTTGGCTGGGTGTCCTAGACGCCAACAATTTTGGCACTGACGTGGAGGAGGTTGGTATGGACGAACAGGGAGGGATTCTCCTCCTATGTAGACGTTAAAGGGAAGGTCCTGTCTACGGAAGGTAATTTTGGCTATGTTAGTGGGTTTCTTTCGATGACCTCTGGGGGGGATGGAGTAGCATTGTACTGATGTTGCATCGTAGTCTGTGAGACAGGCAAGTAGATCTTCTCCACAATCTGACCAATCTTTGTCATAGATTGGGCAATTTGCTGGTGAGATTGAGACTGTTCCGGTGCAAGTATTGAGGGTTGGATGGGGTTCTGCTAGGATGGGGTTACCATATAGGTCAGTTAGTTTTGTTAATGCAATGGCTTGGTTTTCGGATGTTACTGTTACAAGACGGGAGCGGTCGGGTCGGCTACGGAAAGAGACTTTACCTACTTGTTTTTGGAGGCATTGTTGGAAGAGAAGGGTGTTGTCAGAGTAGGGAGCTGTGGGAGGGATCACAAAAAATCGGTCCCATTTGGCTGCACTGAAGAGAGTATTCAAGATTGTTTTAGAGATAGGGGTGGTAGAAGGGCGAGGGCGTGACGAAGATGGAGTAGTGTTGATGGAGGTAGTGTTATGGAGATGTGGGCTATAAGGCTGTAAGGTATTAATAAGGGAGGATGGGGTGGTTGATGTTGGAGGTTGTTGGGGTAGAGGTGTTGAAGTTGGGCATGCTGGGAGAGTGGAAATGTTCCTTGAGGGTTGATTGTTGGCTACTGTACTAGTAGGCATTGGTGAAGGGGCAGTTATTGCAGTGTTTGGAGCCATGGTCAAAGGAGAGCCTGGGGTCAGGGAATCGGGTGGGTTTACTTCTTTGGGGCTATTTGATAAAGGGGCAAGCCTCATTGCCCCTAACAGTGGGGATATATTTTCATTACTGGCCATGGTAAGCCTGGTTATGTTGGGGATAAAAACAGTCCACCCCTCAGGGTCCCCTTGAGGGGTAAGGGCTAGATACTAAATCAGGGGAATACCGTGCCCATGGCTCCCTCAGGCCGTTCAGGACTGGCACAAAGTCAGCCTTTCATCCTTTCAGCACGGCTCTCACACCTTAGGAGGTGGATAGCAGAAGGGTTTGGTGAAGGGACAGAAACAAAAGTGGGAAGGGAAAAAAGACCATGCACAATTGGTTGAGTCGAGGGCTGAGTCCCAAGGTTGGGGAGTTCCCCATCATTGGGTCCCAGTCTCCGCCTCCTAAGCCCCCCCACGACAACAACGGGCAAGGGATTGTGGGGGAAGGTATTAATAAAGGAGGATGGGGTAGTTGATGTAGAAGGTTGTGGAGGATAGAGGTGTTGAGCATGGTGGGAGAGTAGGAATGTCTCTAGGGGGTTGAGTGTTGACTACTGTACTAGTAGGCATTGAGTAGGAGGTAGTTGTTGCAGTGTTCGGAGCCGTGGTCAAAGGGCTAGGCCTAAGCAAGGGAATACCATGCCCATGGCTCCCTCAGGCCGTTCAGGACTGGCACAAAGACCATGTAAAATTAGTTGAGTCGAGGGCTGAGTCCCAAGGTTGGGGAGTTCCCCATCATTGGGTGCCAGTCTCTGCCTCCTAAGCCCTCCCCCACGACAACAACAGGCAAGGGATTGGGGGGGAACCAAGGAAGAGGTGATCCCCTACCTTGGGGCTCAGTTCCCGTCTCCTAAGCCCCCACGAGAACAATTCTGCCTGTCCTGACTATTTGAGTCCAGTCACTTTCCAAATTCTCTGATCTCAGTATGGCAAGGGGACATGTACTTCATGCATACACATTTGAGGGCAGCCCATGTATATGTATATATCTTGGTCTGAAAACACCTTTGGACATGCCATCCCTCATTTACAACAGGAATATTATAATAAACATGTCATGCACCATCATCTAGCACAAAATATTAATGTTTCCAATACAACTTCTGTCACTGTGTGCTCCTACATCAAGACAGTGACTAAAGAAAAATGAAACTGTTAAATAGGTTAAAAATATAATTGGTCACATAAACAAATCCTTGAGAAACTTTTATTTATACAGAACAGAGGGAATACATTCCAAAAATTAATACATTCCCAACAGATAATGCAATCTGGTAATATATTATTTGTCTTTATTGCTACTATAATGAATTAACAAACAAAATCTTTCAAAAGAAAAAAAAATATTAGCCTGTTTAAAACAAAGGTTTATCTCAACAGGAGTACTGACAACATTAAAAAAAAAATGCAGAAAGATGGCCACAAAGTTCCATCATGATTGCAAGATCTTTCTTTCTATTGAATTCTTAATACAACTCAGTACAGTATAATTAAAGAAAAAAAAAATCTTAATTGAAAAGTAAACCAATTACAAACTATGCTTATAAGGCCTCAACTTCTGTATCATTGAGAAGCATTTCCAGATGAAAAATATGTTTCAAAATTACATTCACTAGCACTGAAACACCAAGGAGAATAATGTAATTTGTACGCTGACTGTAGATAAAAGTACAGGTGTACCTGCGCACATGCACACACACACACGCACACGCACACACACATGCAGACACACGCACACATACACACACGCACATGCACACGTATACACACACAGACACAAGTGTGTTAGTTTGTACACACATTCCTCAAGATGAGTATCTAGTAAATGTATTTAATTTGTTTTTTTTACATTCTATCGTCACTAACTTGCAAGAATGCTGATAAGGCAAAAAATGGACCTTTAGATTTCAATGTTACAGACACTGCCACACATCATAAGTTCTTAATAAATCAAAATGTTTTATGTGCATCCTTTCCAACAACAGCAGGAGCTTTCACATATCATATAAAAAGTTGGATGAATTTTAATACTATGGTGAAAACGATATAAAAAAAAAGTCCAATTAAAAGCACAGTAAAACATGATTCTTAACATTCTTGATATACTTCACACTCACACACACACACTCACACTCACTCTCACACACACACACACACACACACACACACACACACACACACACACACACACACACACACACACACACACACACACACACACACATACACACACACACTCATACACACACACACTCATACACACACACACACACACACACACACACACACACACACACACACACACACACACACACACACACACACACACACACACACACACACACACACTCACACATCATTCCAAGCTACAATATACATATATATATATATATATATATATATATATATATATATATATATATATATATATACATACATACATATATATATACATACATACATACATATATATATACATACATACATACATACATACATACATACATACATACATACATACATACATACATACATATATATATATATATATATATATATATATATATATATATATATATATTAGGTATACATACACATATATATTCACAGGAATAAAAAAGTAGAAATGATCCATCCAAACCAAGGCTACTCCCTTGCAATTATGAAACCCAAAAGCTTACAAAAGCTTAATCTTACATCCCGCATTCATCTCACTAAATGATTAAGTATCAAAATCTTGTAGTCCTTTGCCTGAAATTGCTTTCATACTTTAACTTTAGAATGCATAAAGACAGCCTTCTTACTTAATACTTGAAATATAGCACATTGCAATTTGGAAATTTGGTTTTCCTTATGATGGCATGTACATTCCTTCCTTTAACGCTAAAGTTGGCAACAATGACATATCACATCATGCTTGTATAACAATGACTCATACTGACAATGGTATACTCTACACAATATATGTAAAATGCATCTTGTGACAATCTCTTAGGAAGCAAATATCACTGGAATCAAGATGCAAAAACAAGATCAGTTCCAACCACAATAATGTAATGATCAAATCTGAAGTATGCTTTTTATCATTCAACTATCGCTTCAGCTAATGAAATGTATCAGCTTTTTCCTGTTTCTTCTTAAACATCTTCCCTTAATTTTTGGCATCACTATTAATTGTATGTCTTTTTATTTCCATTCTTCTTGAAAAAGGATTTGCCCATAATTACAACCCAGGGCTATCCCAAAAATACTCTGAGATAACAAATAACCATTTGATTCCTGGCAGAAAAGCATTAGCTGGCCCAAGCCAAGCGCCCACCAACACGACAAGCTTTTCCATACATCAAACTGGATAAAATTAATACTTAAAACAATCAATTTCTAAAAATAACAGTCTGTTTCAAAACAAGGCTCCTTAAAAGAAAAACAAAAACTTCAGAAATTTTCATGTATAAATTGAGGGAGAAGATCTCTCTCAAACTTCACACAAATTTGTAGAAATATCAAACACAGATAAACATAAGATATACATACATACAGTCCATTGTATTGCATTTAAGTCAATGCATAATGACACTAACAACATATTTTACAACAAAATCTTATTAATGAACCTTAGATTTGCGTGGAGAGGTGATTCTTGCCATCATGACATAGATCTTCGGGAAGTACTGAAATAAAACAAAAAAAAACATATGTAAGAAAATAATATATTGGTAAACTTTCCTGTCATTCATCTTGTATCAGAATAAAATTAACAATACAATCTCAATCATAAACATGAATGTCCCTCACCTGTAGGAACACATAAATCACTCCCAAATAACTTAGAATGGCCAAGGTAAGGAGGAAATCAAAGGCAGCAGGTTTGACAGCGTAGGCAGCCATGGTGGTTTTGGTTACATCGTAGAAAGCCCACTCGGGGTCCCTCTTGTCTGCCTTTACATAGGTTACACGAGCTTCATTGGTATATCTGTGAAATTCATTCAGAAATGCATTGTTAAATATTTAGAAAAAGTGTTTCAAATATCAAAAACCATGCCAAAAACTTAGTCTATTTAATATGTTTTTAAGTATAAGCACCCTCTGCAATACTTATACAATCTTATGGCCTATGATGAGATAGCAGAATCAACATCCCCAAAAAGTAAACCTGATGCTGAAACATATATCATAATTGCCATTTCCACTTTAGATAGTAGAATACAAAGTACATAAACACTATTAACAATCCTCAGCTTTAAAGGAGTAATTATGTAGTTACCTGGACAGTACTTGGTGAAGAGTAGAGACTAGTGGGTTATTCTTCCCTGAAAGTAGCTGTGGAGATCTTGGCTGGGAGCTCATCAAGTCTAACCAAGACTGCACACTCTCTCTTGTAACATCCTGTTAATATGATGAATTGATTAATTACAGCTTCTGCCTATATCAAAGAGTAGCTATTTTATTGACAGTATGTGCACTCATGGCACTCTGTCTGATTATCAACTGGCAATAAGTGTGGCCTATGGGTAATCTATAAACCCAATGCCTCAACTAAGAATCGTAACTAAAATCTGTTATCATTTCTAACTAATTATTATCTTGAAATCAATTTATATCCTATTTTCAACAAAAATAAGATGGTACTAGAAATTTACTTACCAAACCCTCTGAAAATATTTCATCAACTGATGTGTTATAAATGTGTTGAAGAAGAGAAGTTGCAATCACAGCTGTGTTGCGAGTAAGGGCATCTACATCAACACTGTCTGGCGTGTCAAGGATGCTGCCCCGTTCACCAGTTTTGGATGCTGAAAGTATAATTGTATAATTAATTCTTTCATTGATAAATTTACATTACCTGAAAATCACTAGAAGTACTATTGACAATAGGAAGCTTCAGATATTTACATAAAAGTTTTCATTAAAATAAAGTATAGTAGGAAACAGGTACAAATAAGAGATAAAAAAAAAAGTTGAGCACTAAAAATATCTCTATGTACATCTACTCACATCATCTCAGGAAATTTACAAACAAAATCTGGGTTTGAAGAGTCCCACTCTTTCTGTCCAAATATGCATCTATTTTCTTCATCAGAGATCAAACAATATTGAAACTAATGGTTATATGCTTAACCATGATTTGTGACATTTCATATTTGTGTTCTTGGTGTACTCCAGGGATCACCTTCTTATGATATGCTTAAACAAAATTTCTTGTGTCACATGCTGATGATTAAGAATGGTCAGTGCTGGCAGCCCTGAACTGATGAAATGCCTCCTTTATTTTGATCATTAAAATGCATATATTTTGATAAAGTTATCATGTAACTGAGTATGTCTAAATCATTTAACCCCACATACCATCCCAACTATTCTTTTTGGCCACCTTTAAGCAGGGATTTTATGTTGCCAGATCTATGCAAATTCCAAGTGAGTTGCCATCTTCACTTCACCCTAAATTTTTTTTTTTTTTTATATATTCTCTGATGTATTGGAACATTTTTAAAGCTGCATTCCCAATCCTAAATGAAGAATGTACTAACCCAATGCCACCAAGCATGGCATGTATGTACTTTACTTATTAATTGTTATTACACATAGATGGCTACACTTGTACTATTAGTACACCAATGGTCCAATTACGAGTACTGCCTGTCTCACCTCTTTACCCTTTTCCTTGATTTACAAAATATTTTGTCATCTTATTTTTCTGTTACTAATGTTTTAAAACATCATAATAATTATATGCCAATAACAAAAATAACAACATTGATATTCATAGCATTATTTAAAAAAAACATTTTTCCCACCAATTCAAGGAAAAGTGAAATCAGGTAAGGTCACAAGGTCTAATAACAGACTCCTTTGTGACTAAGCACTAGCAGAGTCATCTATATGCAGAGACGTTTCACCAAAAAAATAAAAGATCACAGCATTTTTCTGGCAACAGTGGCTTAAATCATTTTCTGTATCACCAAAATTTCTAAAACAGAATGCTCATCAGACTAATTAATCCTTTGCTGCTGGGTGGCATGTACGCACATGTCATGGTATGCCTGGACTATATTCTGGGTGGCATGTGCATACGTGCCATGGTGTGGTGATTTGTTTTTCCAGGGGCATATATGGTCATGCCACACGCACTCCCTTGGCAGCGTGGCCTGGGCCACTATGAACACAGCCAAAAAAAGGGCTTTCGTATTGGGAAACCACTTGGCGGCATTGGGTTGACATTTCAAATATAAAACAATATTCAAATGTTATAATCATGTATGACTTAACTAAAGTGAAAGAGGTAGAGAAGTACTTTTACTTTTTTCTGTTCCATATTTTTTTTTCTGTCCGTTTGGTACACACAATGCAGCACTTTTATATTCAGGTCTGTGTATCTATGGAGGAAGACAGTCTTTTACAAAGTCTTTTACTAGTGATTCTGGAAGCACCATGCAAAAGTTGCAACCATTTTACTAAACTGAAATGACTTTCTTGACTTATTATATTATAATATTAAATTATTTCTGTGGCTTAAAAAAATCACTAAATACAACCACTACAGATACAGTTCTTAAACAAAAGATTATGGTTTGGATGCTGTTTATTATTCTCTTTATGCCTGTTTTGTTCTTATACTTGAAGCCCCTTTGTGCAGTAACATATTGGTCTTTATAAAATCAAAGACAATGACCACAATAATTTGAGATTTCTGCTTACATATATTGCTCATCTAAAGTATAACAGGTTAACCCAATGCTGACGGGTATGTCGTGTACGTACGTGCTATACCCATCGTGAGTACTTGTTTGATTGTTTTTACACAGATGGCTACACTTGTACTAAGTCACCAATGAGCCAGTTACGAATACTGCCTGTCTCACCTGTTTACCTTTTTCTCTGATTTACAAATTATTTTACGTTATCTTATTTGTTGTTACTAATGTTAAAAACATAATAATAATCATAATGTTTAAACGATAAAAAATACACCATCATTTTCATACACTTAGTGAAAACATACGTTTTTTCTTCTCCCGCCATTTCAATCAGGCGCTAGCATAGCCATCTATCGGCAGACATTTCACACCGATAATCATAGAAAAATAGGCACAGCATTTTTCCCATTTTTGTTCATTTCCCCGGTGGCATGAGTTTAACAGTCACAGGACCATAAGGTCAAAAGCTACTAACTAGAATAATAAAGAAAACGAAAAATGACACTTCATTTACTTTGTTACTTACTTGGCAGGCCTGGAACAGTGAAAGCAGGCAATCTGCGCATGCTGACTTTCATGCTCCCAGGCTTTGAGTATCTTCTTGGAGGTTGATTTTCCTGTGGAACCCATTTCCACCTAATACCTGATTTTGTACCAATTTCTTCAAGACCCTGTAAATAATGGAATAATCCAATTTCTACTTGCTTTCATTTAACCATCAAATGACCTATTTAGTATCCAATCAAATTATACATATATGTCAAATATACGCAGTGCAACTCTGTTCCTGCTTACCTTGGAAGAAAATATGTGCTGGAGAGTTATCTTTTGGTTTCTTGGAACATGCATCCTAATGCGTCCTCCAGCACGCAGTGAATTAAGACACATCAGTGTATGGTTTCAAGAGAGAAGAGGGGAATCAGAGGCACTAAATGATCTTCTAGGAATCTCTTTGAGGCCCTGCAAAAAAGTATACAAGTATAGATATAATAATAACTATACATATATATTATCTATATATATATATATATATGGAATATATATATATATATAATATAAATATTATATATATATATATTATATATATATATATATTTATATTTCTATGACCAATGATTCACCAACAACTTATTGGTAATACAGAAGTGTAAGAATCAATTAAGCAAGGCAACACACTAAAGTAATTAAAATCTCAAATATCAACTAGAATTTATTAATTTATATTTGAATCCTACCTGGTAGTTATGTAGGCCACCTCCAGAGAGTAGGAAGGCTATGTTAGGCGAAGATGGTGTGCGAGGTGAGGCGTACAGGCGGGAGAGAATGCGCGCTAACTCCAGGAGAATTACAACCACAGAGCCGTTGGCTGTCACTACCCCCAGACACTCCTGTAATAGATTCCAAAGAGGTAAGCTTATGAATACACCCACTTAAAAATAACTATCATTATAAATCCGGGAAGTCCCACGTGTGAAAGAATCATGAATAAGTGAATATTGGGAGAAGTGTGCCAACTGAAACTGAGAAAACAGCCATAACCCCATGTCACATATGTTGGTAAGTTGCTGAAGGAAAATTATTCCATTTTCATGAGAATTTTCAGGCACCATTTCTTAACTAAATCATTATAATCTGCACATTCACGTTGGCTATTGATAGAACACATTGACACAAGCATATGCATACATTACAATAAAAACTGTTGTATGCAATATTAAAGATAGTCCTCCTAACTCCACCATAGCTCTTACCAGTAATTATTTCTTAGCATCAGGTGCAGCTCCCATGCATACATAGTGAGGCACAATTGCTACTGTTGGCAGCTGTTCCTCCACACAATAGCCCCTTAGCTTCCCCTGTAACATGAACAAAATTACATTAATCATAAACTGTGGAATTTTATACCTATCTAAGTCATCAATATGGGCTCATATTATGATCACTCACCTACATCTGCACTTATTGTTTTTCTCCTATACATTACATTTTTCCCTCTCTGCTCCCATTCTTCACACACAAGGCCAAAAGCAACAGATTAAAACTTACTTGGATATTTGCTATTGACATGTCTGACATTAGTTTCGACTGGGGACTACCACCGCCTACTATCTGATATCCATCTGACGCAGCACCGCAAAAGGGCTGAAAACATGTAATAGTAAATTAATAAAATGCAACACAATTGTCATTTCAAAATCAAAGGCATTTCCACTCTCAATACCGATAATTCTAGAATTCATATCAATTTTCCAGAACAAAATTTACATACATCAGCAGCAGAAGTTGCGGAGTCTGTGTTTTGTTGCTGTTCGCACAGACACATATATGTCCCAAAGCTCTTGCGTCTCGTAGGCTAAATACACCCCCAACTGAGTGTTCACTCTCTAAGCATGGCTTTTCTAAACCTCAGACCAAGCTGCAAGGTATAATATAAGTTTATTCAAACAATTTTATTACATATTTTTTGGCCTAGTCAAAACATTAATATATATATAATATAATATAATATATATATATATATCTATACTATATATCTATTCTAGATATATATATTCTATATAATATATATATATGTTTTTTGTATCTTTGTAGTATGTATATATGCAATATGTTTATTTATATCTTTTTATACTTTTGTATATGTGTACCTGTGAATGTGTATGTGAATGTGTACGTGTATGTGAATGTGGTATATATATATATTGTTTACATGTATGTGTGTGTATATATATATATATATATATATATATATATATATATAGTATATATATATTATATATAGATATCTATCTATATATATACTCTATATATAAATTTACATATATATACATACATTGTATATATTATATATGTATGTATGAATAGGTATGTGTGTATGTGGTGATGTGTGTATATAGATATATATATATATATATATATTATATATATATATATATAATATATATATATAGTATATATATATATATATAATAACTATAATTACATATATATACATACATATGAATCTATGTATTATATTATGTAAATGTATAGGTATGTGTGTATGTGTGTATGTTGTTGTATATATAGATATATATATATATAATATATATATATTATATATGATATAGATATATATATATATATTATATAATATACATATTTAATATATCCAGTCAGATAACATATCTATATAGACATATTTTATATACATATTTATATATACATATTTATATATACTATTTATATATACATATTTATATATACATATTTATATCTACATATTTATTTATATATATATATATTATATATTATATATACATATATATATATACAATATATTTATATATACATATCTATATATACATATCTATATATACATATTTATATATACATATTTATATATACATATTTACATATCCATATTTATATAATACATATTTATATCTACATAGTTATTTATAATTAGATATATAATATATATATATATATATATATATATAAGATATAATATAATATATCTATTATACATATTTATATATATATATATATATCATAGTACATATTTATATATTATCTATACATATTATATCTCTATAGTCTATACAGATTTATATATAATATATACATATTTATATATATATATATATATATATATATACCTATTTATATATATCTATATAATATCTCTACATCTTTCTCATGTATCTCTTATATATATACATATATATCGCTCTCATCTATATATATATATCTCATCTTATCTATATATTATATCTATAATCATCTACCATTTACTATCTATACCTCTTTTCTACTATATATATCTACTAATATCCCTATTTCATATTATATATATATATACGCATACATCTCTACATATTCTATATTACCATTATTTTATCTTATATATATATATAGAGTAC